TGCCCAGGGACACCAACAATGGCCCGTTGGCCAATCACGCTACAGCCTCTCCTTCTCCTTTTGGTGAGATTAAACCCAGCTTCATCCATGTAGATGTATTCATGGGGTCTTTCCATTGCATCCAGTTGAAAAACTCTCTGTAGAAATAGATATAGTTTTGTAAGTGATACAGAAAAAGTGATTTAGGCCACTACAGTAAATCAATACTTACAGTAAACATTGAATGTGTCTGGATATATACCAACCTGTACATACTGGAATCTCTGCTCTTTGGCTCTGAGTTGCGTTCAAAGGGCTCTCTGTACAGCTGTTCCATGTGCAGTCTGTTGTGCTTGAGGACACGAACAACAGTAGAGAGGCTGACATACTATAATGTCAAAAAAGGTAATTACCTGTTCTCTTCTCTAAATCTTCGGATTATGGTGGACAGTGAATCTACTGATGTTTGGTTGTACCCTTTGTCCGGCCTCCCTCATGCACACACCATGGACAAGAACATGGTCAATCACAGTAGCTCTGATTTCATCAGATATTACCGTTCTTTGTCTTCGCTGACCACCTCTCACACGAACTCCTCTCAGATTTCTGTCCATTGTAGTGCCTCACAAACCAGTGCTCTCTGAACTGGCTTATATATGCTCCCTCACATCATTAGCCACAAGTGTGATCAATTTTGAGTTGTTGTGTTCAACCGGTGACACCTGTGCTTTAACTGTGTTTGACTTTTGCCACCTGTGCTCACCATTATGCAACACAGGTGCATCACAATGAAAATGTGTTGGCAAGTTGTGTCTAAACAGGTGAAAAGTGCTTATGGTTTTGCCAAAAGAGTGACTGATTCAATCAGTGGGTTCAGGCAACTGAACATTTGGTTCAGACAATAGGGTTTAGTGTTTTAGCAATTGAGAAAAACTGTAAAGAAAAAAATAATTAAAAATGCACAAATCTGTCATACTTGCAAAGGAGGATTGTAGACACATTTCAATACGATTATTTTTGTTGTCAAAATTTTGATATATTTAATGGTGCAATGGGGCCTGAGTAGTTAATGTAAGCGAACAGAAGCTAACAAACAAAAACTAGTCATCTTATTGAGGTGAACATCTTATATACTCACTGGATACACCACTACAACCAGCATGTTCAATTTTGAGGAAAGATCGGTAAAAAAGATCAATAGCGATTTTCAGGTGTTCAGGTCCTCAATGTCATTTTGAAATATTTGGCACAAAAATCTTTGCTTCAGCAAATTATGATTAATATGATTCCGTTTCTTTCTATCGGGTAAATTCCTTCAGTTCTTTTTGTGTTCATTTGGCTCCTCAGCTAACTATCCTGTGGGTGAATAATTCTGTTTAACCCAAAAAAACTTTACACTAATATTCATTAAATTAATATATATATTTTTTTTAAATCAATAAAAATTAAACTAATCTCTTACAAATATTTCAGGGTTTTACCAAATGGCTATGATTGTTTTTCAAATAAATTTCAATTTTTAATAAAGTGAATAATCATGACCATCTCCAAAGCAGCCTTTGACTTTTAGGGAGAATAAATCATTAGACAGCACTGTACAAACGCAATAATATATTACCATACTTAATGAGTTCATGTTCAATGAATAAATACTACATTTTTGAAACAGTACAACGTTTGCCTCATATTTTAACTTAAACGCTTTCAAGCGTGTTTTTTTTTCTCAGCAGAGTTAGGAGAATGGGAAACACACACTAACTCTCAGCAGTATTTAGCAGAGTTAGGAGAATGGGAAACACACACTAACTCTCAGCAGTATTTAGCAGAGTTAGGAGAATGGGAAACACACACTAACTCTCAGCAGTATTTAGCAATTTGGGAAACATACACTAACTCTCAGCAGTATTTAGCAGAGTTAGGAGAATGGGAAACCACACTAACTCTCAGCAAAATTTAGCAGTGTTGGGAGAATGGGAAAGACACACAATCTCAGCAGTATTTAAGAGTTAGGAGAATGGGACACACACACTAACTCTCAGGGTATTTAGCAGGGACACACACACTAACTCTCAGCAGAGAATGGGACTTTATAAAACAGTTTTAGCAGAGTTAAAATGGGACACAACACTAACTCTCAGCAGTTTAGCCTGCGAAAATGGGACACACACACTTAGCAGTATTTAGCAGAGGAATGGGAAAACACACTAACTCTCAGCAGTATTTAGCAGAGTTAAGAATAATACATATAACTCTCAGTAGTTTTTTAAATTAATAAAATTAAACACACTAACTCTTAGCAATATTTAGCAGAGCAGGAGAATGGGACACACACACTAACTCTCAAAAATGGCTGCTGATTATCAGAATTTAAATCAAACTAACTCTCAGCAGTATTTAGCAGAGTTAATAATGGGACACACCATCTCCAAAGTATTTTGACTTTTTAGGAGAATGGGAAATCATTAACTCAGCAGTATTTAGCAGAGTTAGAAAATGGGACACACACACTAATCTCATATTTAGCAGAGTTAGGAGAATGGGTTCACACAATGAATAAATACTTAGCATTTTTGGAGAAACAGTACTCAGCAGTT